CTCAGAGTGCACTTCAGTAGGAAACTGGAATTGGAAGTTGTAGAACCCAGTCTACAACTACAGATGGGACATTTATTTTACACTACATGCATTAACATGACTAATTTTCAGGGAGAAGGATGGGTTAGAAGGAATTTTGAAAATTCTTATTCCATTTTTCTGTTAGACAATTACTGATATGTTTCTTTTTTATTGTGGGTTTCTCTTACTACATTGTACCATAATATAAACTTTATGAGGGCAGAGGTTTTTGTATGTTTTTTTATGATACATTCCTCAGCAGCATATTGAATGAAACATTTTCTCTGTTTTGGAACTTGCTAATTTTTCTTTATAATACTGCAGAATATATGAGCTGCATTTTGTAAAGTTACAAATCAAATTATAATCAAAGTTACTAATTTTGTTTTAAGACCGCTAGATTCTTTAATATGAGATGAATTATGCAGAGAGTGTTACGAGGTTCAAAAGTATAAGGGGGGACCAGAAGCAGGTAAGGCCACCTGCGAAGTCAGCATCCCACATGAGCACTGTTTCGTGTCCAGGATGTTCCACTTCTGGTCTCGCTCCCTGCTAATGGCCTCAGAAAAGCAGCAGAACAGGACCCATGTGTGTAGACCCCTGCCACACACATGGGAGATCTGGAAGCTCTGGCTTTGGCCTGTCTTACCACTGGCTATTGTGGCCATCTGAGGAGTGAACCAGTAAATGGAAGATCTCTGTCTCTCCCCCTGACTCTGTAACTACAACTTTCAATTAAATAAGTAAAATCTTTATAAAAGAAAAAAGTATAATGGAATCTTAATAAAGTTAATGTGAATTGTGAAAAAAAATTATTCATGGATTTCAATTATTTTTTTCACCAAAATAAACTTATCATCTAATTCCATTTTCCACAGTTTTTTAAGTACTGTCATGTAATAGTTATGGGTCACTTAGAAGAAAGTTTGCCATATAATGATCATTGCATTGCCGTTAGCTGTATCCTCCAAAATTTTCATTTGTAGTTTTTATTTGCATGAACTATTTTCAATTTTTTAAAACTTTATGCTTTTAAAATAGACAGTATAGTTATGTGAATCAAACAGTGAAACTGGGGCCTGGCGCCTGAGAGCAATAGGTTAATCCTCTGTTTGTGGTCCGGCATCCCATTTGGGTGCTGGTTCTAGTCCTGGCTGCTCCACTTCTGATCCAGCTCTCTACTATGGCCTGGGAAAGTGGTAGAAGATGGCCCAACTCCTTGGGCCCCTGCACCCACATGGGAGACCTGGAAGAGGCTCCTGACTCCAGATAGGCGCAGCTCCGACTGTAGTGACCATTTGGGGAGTGAACCAACGGAAGGAAGACCTTTCTCTCTGTCTCCCTCTCTCTGTAACTCTACCTCTCAAATAAATAAATATTTTTTTTAAAAGGGTGAAACAGAAAATTTATACTCTGAGAAATTTAATTTCACTCCTGCCTCTTTGACTCATTCCTTCTTACATATTTTGGTAATTTAATCTCATTTAATCTATCATTGATACATTAAGCACATAGATTCAAAAGACCCATTTCATTAATATTATTGATTAGTTGCGATTTTCATGTTTCTAGTTCATGTATTGAAAACAGTAGCTACTCTTCTCTGAGTTTCTCTACTGAGGAGCAGAGGGCACATGGTTAGTCATTGCAGAGGCCTCTTGGCCTTGGCTGGAAACAGCCTCTACCTCTAGTTGTGTGTGCACACTCAGCACTCATGCAGAGACCACAGTGTCTCTAACCTATGCCCAGACAATATTTGAAATCAGAAAGGATATCGGAGTGGCGCTACTTCTGCCTGCTGGGTCAGTTTCCTGGTTTTGAATCTCCCACAGTGATAATCAAAACTGCTCTGTGAAGCTCCTGCCACCCATTCCCCCTCCTTTCCTCCTGCCTTTCACAGGCATTAGACCTACATTGCCATCTGAAGTCGCTCTTCCTTACTCCCTTATGTCTTTTCCATTCCTAATATTTATCCCCGTAAATCTCTTGCCAGTCTGACTCTCTTGTCATCTGCTTTTCATAGAACTTGAACTGACCCAGTATGTACGATGTGTTTTGAGAATGAAGTTATCCCATTGGAGGTGAATGCCCTTTTCGGAACCGTGACTCATGCATTTGTAGTATGTGGGAACATACCTATAAGGTGGCGGTAGCCATTTATTCATTACTAAGTTGCATTGAGTCCTGGAATGGGAAAGTTAGGCATGCAGAGTGGATAACAAATAGTTGTGGTGAGATGTGAATCGATAGTGCTTATTTGATGCCCTGGAAAGAGACCCTTATCTCCTTCAGTAAAAGAGCTGACACTTCTGAGTACCAGGCTGAAGATCTGCTAGTTAATAGCTCTCAGTTAAGAGCTCCAGAGACACTGAAATGCTAGCCAAGGAAAATGTGTTCAATAAGGTGAGAATCCTGATTGGGGAAATCTGGTTCACTGAAACATCGGATGGGGATGGGGACATCTGGGTTTTTATACTGTTAAGATGTAAAAGGGTAGATAATGATAGACATGTGAGTGTACTTTTGAATATCCTTCCAAGACTACTTGCTGCAAGAATAATGCGTCGGTAGCCTTGAGTTGCTGCATTTTGGGCATCCTCCACAGTGGTCATATAAAATCCAAGTTCTTTCTGGGATGCCCAGCCCTTAACAATACACCAGAGCTCCTGGAGTCAGGCAGCTCCTGCCTGACACAGCAGTCTGCTGGTAACCCATTTTTGCTTTGCCTGTGCATCTCCCCTTACCCTTCTTGTTTCCCTCTCTCCTTTCAAAGATTCCATCTCTCCTTTTTTATTTATTTTTTTTTATTTGACAGGTAGAGTCACAGACAGTGAGAGATAGAGACAGACAGAAAGGTCTTCCTTTTTCCGTTGGGTCACTCCCCCAATGGCTGCCATGGCCAGCGCTGCACAGATCCCAAGCCAGGAGCCAGGTGCTTTCTCCTGGTCTCCCATGTGGGTGCAGGGGCCCAAGCACCTGGGCCATCCTCCACTGCCTTCCCAGGCCACTGCAGAGAGCTGGACTGGAAGAGGAGCAACTGGGACTAGAACCCGGAACCCACATGAGATGCCAGTGCCGCAGGCAGAGGACCAAGCAAGTGAGCCACGGCGTCAGCCCCTCATCTCTCCTTTCAAAGATATGAGACTTGCATCAGAAACTGAAAGTTTTTCTGCTCCTTTTCCTGACATTTTCTTCCGCAAACATTTTCCTAGTAAATCCCTTGGATGTCTAATTTTTTTTTTAAACTTTTATTTAATGAATATAAATTTCCAAAGTACGACTTATGGATTACAATGGCTTCCC